AGTTTTACATAGATGTCTATCTGATTCATCGTTTTTTTTTTCTCATTAGTTTGGTATTCCAAGTTTCAAACTATGTTGAAGTCAATTTTTGCAAAGATATAATGTGGTATTGAGAATACCGAACATATTCGTGCCCTTAATGAAGTTTGGTACTCTTAAGTACCGAACATAAGAGAGAGACAATAGCTCAGTAGTGAGAGTACCGAGTGTAACGTTTTCAAGAATAAATTTGTCTAATATTAGTCATTACTTTCTAATATAGTATTAATAATCCATTTATTGTTTTCGTTTGTAGCCACAACCCTCAAGGAAGAACATAGGGTAGGTAGGATGAAAATGCCCTTGTGGTCAAGAGTACCTTGTAGCGTCATTTTTAAACAAGATTTTTGTTGGGGGCGAGGCCAATCTTGCGTATGGAGGCCCAAGCTAACTTTTGTTTTACATTAAAAACCGGTCCGACACATGAAATATTAGGCAGGATTTAGTTTAATACTATAAGCCGGTTTAACATAACCGGCTTTTCATTTTTTGCGATTGAAGTCATTCCTATACTCACAAGTGCATGACATGCGTACATGGAATGGCCTTGCCGTTTATACAAAATTTAAAAATGAGGCCAGTCCGGCATTTCAAGCATCAGACCGATTACATCATCTAAAACCCATTTAAAATCCGAAGTGCCTGACCAGACTCGCTTTTAATAAAACCCTTGCTTAAAAACAAGGCTACAAGGCATGACTAGAGGGATATTTTCATCATCAGATACTCATCGTCCTTACTTGAGGAAGTATGGGCAAAAGAAAAAAGTAAATATATTAAAGTCTGATACAAGGGGGTGTACGTAATTTCCTCTGAATTTGTTTAGTATTCAACTTTATTAAAGGCAAAGAATATGTTCACAATCTCAGTACTGAACAATATTTTTTATCAAACCACGTTCTAGGAGTACTGAACTAACATTGCAAGTTTAAGCACTCTATTTCTTACACCTCTCTCATTATGCTGACGTGGATCGTGCGGTTAAGAACTAGTCGGTCTACTAATCTCACTCGCTCTCTCAAATCATGATTATCAAGAGGGATTGCATATTATGAGACCATTTATCTTTGTTACAAGAAGGTCATAATTACTCTTAACTATTAGAGGTAAAATTAGATGGTTTAGAGTGTGTCACGATATTGATAATTTTTTTTTGAACTTTGAGTGTAATTAATGACACTTTTATAGCCATCTGATTTGAAATGTAGTTGACAAAAGTGTTTGTGAGCTCTTTGTACCAAAAGTAAATAGTTTTTTTATATATATTTTTCCTTATCATGCTCCCATATCTATATGAGTCAACCGACTCATATGTGGCTCCCCTATTAAACTATTTTAAAAATAGAGTTTAATCTAAAATTTAGGTTAAGATGATCATAAAAATGAATTTTTTTTGATATTAAAATATAATTACAATATTCAGCATATAAAACCTGCCAGTTTTTTTCATCGTCGTTGGTGAGGCAGCAGGCTCTTGCACGTGCCTATTCGTGAACTACTTTTCCCTACAAGAATACCCCTACTCCATGAGTCCACATTCCTACCTCGTTGACTAGATTGACTTGATAATATCGGGTAGACCCATGCCACCAACCAACTTAGCCCACTTTATCTGACCAATTGGGCTCAGTTTTAGTCTCAGTAGTCGCCATGAATCATACGACTTGTGGACTAGCAAAGGTCTAGTAAAAGTCAGGGTCACTGCAATAGTGTGCAGATGCATGATAAAGAGATACATTGACTAAATGCAATGCAAAAGAGAAAATTAAACCTTCTTGACGTATATAAATGTCATAAGCTATCAGTAAAAGCAAAGGGACGCGGTTAGCATGCGGCCAAGCCCGCACATGTAGAAATGCGGGCTTGGTAACTAATATATGTTTTAAATATAATTTGATTTTAATTTTTAAAGAATATATAATTTTTAACACGAAGATCATGAATATAAAAAAATAAATAAATTCTGAAAAATTATATTAAAGAAACATTTGAACTGCTAGTTACCATTGTTTTTAGATGGACCACATACTTGCATCCGTCGGATGCTTTGTACCTCTGAACCGCATATTGTTCAAATGCGGTCCAGCCCGGAAGAAACAATAAAAAAGAGAGGCACTCCAAAATAGTGTCTAACAAGTGCAATGGCGGATTCCATGCCATGGTGGTACGATTGTGCTGCCCTTCTTCTAGTACTCTTTGTTGCACCAATACAAGAGGAGTGCCATGCGCATGAACCTCGTGCCTGATCCGTTTCGGTTTCCGGTGATCGGGAACTTCTACCAGTTAGTAAGTAGGCCGCCCATGGAGCTCTAGAGGACTTGTCGTTAAAGTATGGGTTCATAATGTTTTTGAAGTTTGGCAAAGTCCCGACCCTTGTCATCTCTTCCCGGGAGATGGCCAAAGAGGTTAAAAACTCACGAACTATCTTTCGCCCAACGCCCACGCTTTTGCAATGGGTGGCAAAGACCTCGGTCTGTCACCATACGGCATCTTATACCTCGGTTTGTCACTTCCCTTGGATCCAGCACCAAAGAGAGAGAAAATTTTTCAGAGAGAGAAACTATCCCTAGTCTACCCTAGTCACGTGGCTTTGTTCTCTCTCTCTTCTTTCTTTCTTTTCTCCCTTCACTCGTTGCTTGCTCTGCGCAGTAACCCGTGCCTGCGACAAACGCGCGGTCCCGTTTCTTTCCCCTTGCATCTCTAGAGTAAACGCAGCAAACCTGCGACACCGCATAGCATGCCGCTATTCGACGTACACTCGACTCAATACCTTTCACAGTCAGCCTAAGAGTTTCAACCCTCAGGCCATCGCTTTAACTTCCTCTCCGTACAGTTGAGTTGAGCTGTGAGATATTTTGAATCACTAGTCAAGAGAGTTCTAACCCTTCGGTTGCCTTGATCAACCGAGGGCGTAGTGCTTGCGTGCATAGGGAGAATCTTGTGACCATTTCTCCCCACGTCCTATTTCTTGCCAGCCAACCTCTCGTTTGAGTGAACTTTTATAGAGTATTATTGACGAATCCGCATTACAATTTTCAGCGAAAGGGAACGGAGCGACGTGTTAAAGCTTGAGGAGAGTTTGTGTCCAAACCGCGATGGCAGACAGCTGGAGGGCTTCGTAATTGTTCTAAGAGAGCGAACTGCCTGGGTGTGTCCCAAACCCCAAACGACGAGGTAAGCACCTAAAATGCACCCCCGTTGTAAAATTTCTTTCTTTGTTGGTTCATATCTGCACATTGGAGGAGAGCACGCGTGCGCACACTCACTCACAAACGTGTAGCGCGCGTGGACCCTCCACGGTTGTTTGAGAGAGAATTTTATCCCGCCGCCCGTGCGTGAAAAAATGAAGTCCGACCACTCCTATTTGATACTTAGGTCCATAGACCTTGATCAAACCACATCTCCATCTGTTTTACTACCTTAAATAGTTCACACAATCACAAGGAGGCACAAGAATACAAGGTATTAAAAGGCTGACTCTTTCAAACTTGTTAGCACGTATCAACTAATGTCCATGCACTTCATACATATGCACAAAACCAGCCAAGATATAATCAAAGAAGCGAAAAGGATAATGAATAAATTAATAATCTACATGTTAAGATTACATATTTCCTAAAAATTAGGATTAAATTCTATTTCAAAAACAAATTATAAAGGGGCCCGCATTTCTACATGTGAGTCTATGGACTCATAAAAACCGTGTCCAATTATAAATTAACATGTCTGGCAGTGGACTTGGTCTTAGTAGTCGCCATGAATCATACGAGTAGTGGACTTGCAAAAGTCTAGCAAAAGTTAAGGTCACTGCACAATTGTGGAGATGGAGAGATACATTGAGCAATGCACTGCAAAAGAGAGAATGAAACCTTCTTGATGTATATAAATATCAGAAGCTGCACCTCTAGCATCTATCACTAAAAGCAAAAAAGAGAGGCATTTCAAACAGCGTCTTAAAAAGGGCAATGGCGAATTCCCTCCCATGGTGGTATGATTGTGCTGCCCTCCTTCTAGCACTATTTGTTGCCTCTTTGTTGCACCGATACAAGAGTGCCAAGCGCATGAACCTCGCGCCTGGTCCGTTTCCGTTGCCGGTGATCGGGAACTTCCACCAGTTAGTAAGTAGGCTGCCCCATCGAGCTCTAGAGGACCTGTCATTGAAGTATGGGCCCATAATGTTTTTGAAGTTTGGCCAAGTCCCGACCCTTGTGATCTCTTCTCCGGAGATGGCCAAAGAGGTGTTAAAAACTGACGAACTCTCTTTCGCCCAACGCCCACTCTTTTGCAATGGAAAATATTTTTTTAATGGTGGCAAAGACCTCGGTCTATCACCGTACGGCATGTTCTGGAGGCAGCTAAGGAAAATGTGTGTGCTTGAATTATTCAGCAACAAGAGGGCGCGAGAGATTCAGAGAGTGAGGGAGGATGAAGTTGCCATCCTAATTAGATCGATTGCCTCCTCAACTGGGCCGGTGAACCTCTATGGCTTGTTGCTTTCTTTAACTAACAATGTCCTATGCAGAGCAGTAATTGGGGATGAGTTCTCGGAGCGCAGGGAGCATGGTGGTTTTAGGCTTGCGGAAATGCTGGACGAGTTGCAGGACATCCTTGGTGAGTCGAACATTGCAGACGTTTTCCCATCTATCGAATGGATCAATGTCTTCACTCTTCAGTACTGGCGAACTAGGAATTTGTTCCATCTAATGGACTCTTTCCTTGATTCTGTAATTGAGGAGCATCTTGGGCCGACTCATGGTAGAATTCGCATGGACTTTCTCGACACTCTGCTCCAGATTAAGGAACGCGGAGACATGGAATTCCCACTTACTCAAGGCATTATCAAGGTTCTCATTCTGGTGGGTGTTCTTTTTTTTTTTGGTTAATTCGATAGGGAAGAATGCCCCTACCTGTCTTTTTGAAATAGTTCAGGACTTCGTTTTTTTGAAGATTTCACTGGGAATGGAAACCACGGTACGGTGACTGAGATAGGGGGTGCTACAATGGCAACCCTAATAATAGAAAGCACACGCCTTATCAATGTTCAAAAACTCCTTCCAACTTTTGAGACTTATCCGAGTTAACTTGAGCATCTTCAGATTTTATTGTTCGAAACTTCGATGGGGCCGAGTTTTGTAGTCTTCAAATTAAATATACCTAAATCAAAACAAAAAATGTGATGTGTTTCCCTGTTTAGACTAATTCTAAAGCTTTTGGCCCCCTTTCTTTTTTCTTTTTTAATTTATTTTACAACTAATTTTCCAACATTATTCTGATGAACGCCATGCTTCTGTTGCTGTTAACAGAGGGGAACTTTCAAACCTTGGAATGACCTTCTTTTGTGTTCACAGGATATGTTTGCTGCGGGAACCGATTCATCATTAGTCACTTTGACATGGGCCATGTTCGAACTCATCAAGAATCCGAGAATTATGGAGAAAGCTCAAGAAGAAGTTCGAAATGTCGTTGGCCAGAAACAATCGGTAGAAGAGAGCGACCTACCTAAATTGACCTACCTCAAATGCATAATAAAGGAAACCTTTAGGCTACATCCAACTGTACCGATTATCGCTCGAGAATCAATTGAGGAATGCCTAATTGGTGGGTACCATGTGCCTCCTAAAACAAGGTTACTGGTGAACACATGGGCAATAGGAAGGAACGAGAAGATCTGGGAAAACGTCAACATCTTCGAACCAGAACGATTTGATGGTAGTAACATCGACTTTAGGGGACACAATTTCGAACTCATCCCATTTGGTTCGGGGCGAAGAGGATGCCCTGGTATATCATTTGCAATGGCTACTGTTGAACTGGTTCTAGCACAGCTCCTATTTTTCTTTGATTGGGAACTCCCAAATGGCGCCAAACGAGAGAATCTTGATATGATGGAGCGGAGTGCGTGCCTCATGTTGAGAAAATCTGATTTGAATTTAGTTGCAAAGCCTCATTATCCCATCCCTTCCTCCATTGCCATTACTAAACCTGCTGCGGCCTAAGCATGATCTAACTTCTATGTATCTCTTGAGAATTTTATTGTCATATTAAGCCTCTGTTATTCTTCTTTCACTTGGGATTGAGTAGAAAATGTATTGAGGGTATCATGCAATCTTTTGCATGGTTTAGCCCATAAAGATAAGGGTACATTATAAGAAAGTAAATCATACGGTACTAAATTTACATGGTGTTCGGAGTTCTTGATGTTCCATTTGTAATTCCACAAAAATTGGTCAACTTTTGCAGTTTGCAAGAACTTTTCTTTATGGAATGTGCCATTTCCATTTAAGGAAAGTTACGTATAGGCCCCCATTTTCATTCCAATTTCACTGTAGCACCCAACGGGTTCCTCTTTCTTTCTTTCTTCTTTCTTTCTTTCTTTTTTTATTTTTTTATTTTCTTAATATATCTTTGGCAAAAATATCATTGGATTCCCTCTCTCCCATATGCCATATTTTTCACTTTTTTTTCATTAAAATTGCCACTAACAATTTCCTTATAACAAAGAATAAAATGCTCCAATATGCTTCCCCACTAACTAATTACGTTACGACCACTGAACAAGCTTGGTTGACGAACATAGTTTATGCACCGCTAATGTAGTAGCTTGTCGAGCATTTGACAAACTAACACCATATTTTTCACTTTTTTACCATTAAAATTGGCATTAAAAATTTCCTTATAATAAAGAGTAAAAGGCTCGAAGTTAAAAAATAAATAAAGTTAACCATACATATCAAATGGTAATAGGCATGAGAGAGGTAGGGACCCTAGGGATGGCAATGGACCCGACCAGACCCGCTACCCAATGGGTAGACCTGACCTCGGGTTCGGGTATGAGTCCAATTTCTGGACGCGACGGGTCGGGTTTGGATCCAAAACCTGGACCCGAATACTATTCGGGCCCCGGTCCAGCTGGTCCTGACCTGTACTCGTAAACTGTTGGAAATAAAATACTTTATTTTAAGCCCTATTTGTTTGGGTGTATTAATGATTATATACAATAAAAACTCGTAGTCATCTTTAGCTAACGACAAATTAGACGGCTTGAAATCTAATGGTACGTAATTGTGATCTTGTTGCTAATAATATGTATGTATGATAATAAAATATGGGCAAAAAAAAAAAACGAAGCTCATAGTCATGGTTGGTAATGGACCCGACCAGACCAGGGACCTGGCGGGTATGGTATGGGTCAAATATTTGGACTTGACGGGTCGGGTCCAAGTCCAAAACCTGGACCAGAACACTATTCACGTCTATGTCCGGGACTTGTCCCATACCTGATCCGTTGCCGCCCCTGATTTTTTCAAGAGAGATGGGTTGGGGCACGAGAAAGGCACAAAGACTACTTTTTTTTTTTTTAAGAGAGTTACGGTGTGTTTTGCCATTAGGAGAGAGAAGATCCATGGAGAGATGGACGAAAGTGTTCGGTGAGAGTTATAAAAGAGGGAAGAGATGAAAAACTACAAATTTGGTATAAGAAAATTGTCAATGGTAATTTTTTTTAAAAAATAATAGTGGGGAAGGGGATCATTGGGTCTGGCTATATTTTTGCCAAAGATTTAATGCAGCCTGAAATAAAATAATGGCGAAGAGCTGCTCTGAAATTGGAATGAAAATCACACGAAATTTTTCTCATTATTGTTATTTTTGGGAATAAGCTTTTTTTGGTAATTAACTAAGAGAAAATGTTATATTTATTGTGTTCAGCTTCCTACTTCTCACACTTGTTTGAATTCATTTTTCTATTAGATGTCCAAAGTGGATGAGTGGGGTACTCAAAATCAGCCAAACAATGCCCAAAGTCATTCAAAATTGATGGGTTTTGAGGGGAGGAAAGAGCATGGTAGATGAGTGGGGTATGACAGCCTCTATCAAAATCAGTCAAACAACGCCCATGGTCATGGTCATGGTCATGGTCAGTTTGAGTGGAGATGTCAAATGAACCGCCCTTTAACTGAGAATGTCACTTTCTTTGCGGCGGCTTCATTTCAAGATTTGAATGATAGAAACTTCGATATTGAAATCCATCCATCCCGATTCGGAGGATAGCCATCAAGGTTCCGATTTCAAATTTGAATACGTGGATACAAGATGTTAAAATTGTTAAATTGTATTTTCTAGAAATTATATTAACTTTTTATTTTATTTTATTTAGAGTGATGTAGTGAGTGTTATTTGTAATTTTGTGTAATGAGAAGTTGTGGAACTAATAAGTGGTTGGTAGGTTTCTTTTAAATACGTAATTATTGCAGTAAAAAAGTAGTTGTTGTAAGCGGGTAGTTGTAATAATTTTAGTTGTAGGAACCTCTATTTCAAAAAGAGGTATGTGGTGGGAAATGTGGTTATCTTTTGTGACAAGTGTAACACCTTGGTGTACTCCATTTTCAGTTTTTTTAATGCAAGTTTTTCTTCCACTTAATCTTGGTTCTTCTTTTTCTTTTTATTTGCTTGTGAGTCTTCGGCTAGTGTGGCATTGTCACACTAATTGAGAAGCAGATTGTTCCGATGTTGTGGAATTTGTCTTTCTCTACATGGTATCAGAGAAGATTGGTTTTTCTTAAGATGAATTTGGGTAGAAGGATGACTGGTTTTAGCATTGAGTTGCTCAACCAATCAAACTATAAGATATGGAGGTCATATATGGAGTCTTAACTTGTTGGTGAAGACTTGTGGGAAATTGTCGGTGGAAATGATAAGGATGCTCCCACACTAGAAATATTGATACACTCAAATCAAAGTGTTCTTTCCATTTCCCAATTTTTTTTGAAGATCAAGAATATTTGTTCGGGGATTTCTCTTCTTGATCTGAAAGAACTCATTTCGGAGGCCTGAATGATGCGGCACATCATTCGTGGTCTAAAGAGGGTGTATACTCCCTATGTTACTTTTATTCAAGGGTGGGTTGGACAACCATCTTTAGTAGAGTTTGATAAACTTCTTACTTCACAAGAATCTTTGGCCCATCAAATGGATAGATTTTCGATTTCAAGCAGTGATCGAGATGCCTTATTTACTAGCAACAACAAATATTCTCATAAAAGTAAAGGTTCCAATGATCATGATGATGAAAAATTGTCCAGTAAAGGTGATGAAAACTGAAAATATGTCAAGTGCTATCCGTGTGGTAAACTTGGACATATAAAAAAGAATGCCATGTTAAATTGAAAGGAAGAATGTAGCTAAGAACGAAAGTGAACCAAATTGTGATGAGGAATGGGGAAAATGTTTCTTGGCTGGTACCACAACGGTTGATGCATTAGTTTATATTAATTTTGAGGATGATTGGATCATAGATTTCGATTGTAGGCATCATCTCACTAGTGATGGTTCTAAGTTCTCAAGCTTTCGAGATTACAATAGCAATGATACTATCATTCCTGCTGATAATTCCATTCATCATGTGGAAAAAGAATGAGTCGTCACTATTAATGGGGATGGAGATGATTGCATCACACTTGAGAGCATGTTCCAAGTACTGGGTAAGAAGAAGAACCTTTTCTCTATTGCCAATGCTGTGGATTCGGGTCAATATGTTTTATTTGGGCTTAAAGACGTAAAGTTCCTAAAGAACATTACAAGTTTGAAGGCGGATGTTGTTCATACAGGTAAAAGAAGCTAAAGATTTGTTTATTTTATCATCTACCATGTCACATGTTCATAAAATGAGTACAAATGATGGGGCTTCAATTTAACATGCTAGATTGGGGGATCTTAGCATGGACAAATTGAAAGTTATGGTGCTGAAAAATTTGGTAAATGGATTGCCTAAACTGAGTACATTTGGTAAAAGTGAAGCATGTGAAGGGGGTCAATGTGGTAAAGCACATCGTCTTCCATTTGACAAGTCCTTTTCAAAGTGCAAGGCCCCATAGGAGCTTATCCATAGTGATTTGATGGGACTTTGTGTTACACCTTTATATTCTTCGCTACATGTTATTGTTTGTTGATGACTTTACAAAATATACATGGATTTATTTTGTAAAACAGAAATCAGATGTGTTTTCAAAATTCAAGGAGTTTAAGAAGACTGTTGAAGGACTGATCTAGAAGAATAAGAGATCGAGAACTGATCTAGAGAATGATATGATCATGATAAGGATTAACATGATATATTGTAATCTCTTCGTATGGTAATCCTTTTCATATATGTACATATTTATTGTAATCACATCTTTGATTGAGTCAATCAATGATGTGCACATAAGTATTATAAATGGAACCCATATCCCTCTCTATGGGTGTGGAGAATTTTACATAAAGATTTTCCTCTAAAATTCTTCATGATATCATAGCGTCATTTCCAATAAATCACCCACGCCTTTGCTAATTTTGTTCTCTCTCTAAACTCTCTGCTAATTTTGTTCTCTCTAAACTCTCTCTTGCCTATGTGTTGGTATGCAGTTGGTGCACTTTCTATAGGATTGGTAGGTCTATTTCTCTCTCTACACCCCAATCTCAAAATTGGTGCTCTTTCTCTCTCTACGTCCCTCTCTCAAGCATGGTGGGCCTTTCTCACCAATATATGTAGGTACACAACTAAGGTGCTATTCTCTTATCTCGTGGTTGGATATCCTTCTAACCTCTATGTTTCTTATTGAATCTCATTGTCTCGACTCACCAGAGCTATTGTAAGAAGACTTCTTACTTATAAATTTTCTCTCTCTTTTTATGCTTGATAAAGGCACCCTGAATAGGGTTTGTACATCTCAATCTCCTCTTTCTCTCTTTGTGACAGCCCCGGTAAACAAAGTTTTGTGACTTCTATCTCACCAATATTTTCTCTCTCTAAAGTCTATGTTTTTTTATTGAATCACACACTCTCTCTTCCTCCTTACCTCTATTCTCTCTCTTTCTCCCTTGAAAGTGAAAACCTCTTAACAAAGTCAGCACGATATCTTCCCTAGCACTTCTTCCAATTTCAATAAACATTTTGAAGTCCCTCCAAACCATTTGTTCAAAAAAAAAAAAAAAATTCTCCCTTTCCTAAAAAAATGGGAAGGCTCTAAAAGGTTACTAAACCCTACCCTACTTGTTTTCTATTTCTTACTTTTATCTTGCCTCCATCTATCTAATTTCAAAACCTTCTTCTTCAACTTATGACAATCAAGTTCTTCAATGACAATTTTCTACTATGGAAAGGCCAAATTATTCCTATTGTTAGAGGCCAAGGAATCATGA